TCTTCGCAGGTCACAACGATTCATTGTTCATACTGATGTCTTCGACATTGTCACACGATGGATGGTCTACCATGGAATAATGGTCAATGAAAAAGACTTGCTGTGCTTTGCCGCCTGTCCAGAGAGCTTTTGAACTAATTTTCGCCGCGGTCTATCTCACTCTCGCTCGCATTCGCCTTGTCTCTCTGTCATCCATCTTTCCCTTTCCTTCTTATCTATTTCCTTTTTCTTTTTTCTTGAAAGCAATCTGGATGCCGAACTCATCTGTCCCTTTAGGACCCTAGCGTTAGAGGGTAATAAATGCACTACAGGAAAAAAAAACCAAGTATCCGTTGTTTTTTTTCTATGCCTTCCGAGATGAGAACGAGCATTTTCTTGTCAAAAATCTCACTTTTTCTTCAAATTTTCGAGAATTTAAGCCAAAAAAAATGAAAAATGCTCGTTCTCATCTCGGAAGGCATAGAAAAAAACGGATACTTGGTTTGTTTGCCATCTCTTCACGATTAAAATACGGTATAAACATGGGTATCAAGGATCAAATTCACAAGAGTTGATTCGGTTACACTGAACGAGTGTAGTCTTCCAAAGGGAGTGCGATGGTAAAAAACGGCTGGTCCCCAATACTAGAGGGGCTAACTGCTGATCAACGCATACCCCAACAGATGCAGCGTGAAAAACTGTACCAGATGGACCCATTTTGGAAAGATGAAGGGATGTTCAATAAAGAGAAATAGAGGGGAGTATCCAACCAAAAATTCTCCTTTTTTGCCGAAAAATGGCAAAACCCAGCGGAAAAAATGCACTTTTGGTGACTTTTTTCTCGCTAAATAAGAGCTTTAAAAAAGATCCAAGTATACAGTTTTGTTCAGCTCGACGAGCTCTACAAAATGGCCGATTAAAAAATTGAGGAAAAAATTTCACTTGATCATTGAATTACGTGAACTTTACTATCCCAATTACATTGAAAAATGAGTAGAAAAATGAGTGAAGAAATGGTTTGGTCCTGTGTAGTTTTTTATGAGGAATATTTTTGTAAAAAACTATCATTGAAATCTACTTTCATCTTAAGAAAAATTAGTTTTACTGATACCAGCAAAACTACCTGGGTTTATACATTTACCCCATAGACGTAATGATGATTATACAATTCCCCCAAATGTGGTAGATGTATACGAAAAATTCTGTTGGTGCTGTTTTTGCACGCTTTGTAAAAAAGCAAAATCTTCAGTTATAACCTTAAAATTAGTACAGAGTTACAAAAAAGACTTTGAGGTATCGATTAGTGAAAAGATCATCGAAAAACAAAGTACCAATCGTTCAAAAACTAGGTTTTAAGAAATATCAGACAATTGACTGAAATTATACATTTCCCTCACAAGACGCAAGCGTGATTATACATTCGTCCCCAACGGAGTAAATGTATAATCGAAAAGTAGCATCCAAAGAATACGCCGTAGATAGCTCAAGCTACAAGATTTTGAGACGCGCTTTTCACCAATCGATCCAGCATGTGCTCAGCTAGGTGACTTGTGAAGAAAATTTTTTGAAAAAGTAATAAATAAGTCCTGTTGCAGACTTACCATCTTCTATGTAATATAATTCTGCTACAGCTAGTGATGATTCTTCTAAAGCCGAGTTATTATCTACTTTCTTTCAAACTAGTTTTTCACAACTCTCTTCACTTACCACGAATAATTCTCAACTTCCTTTATCTTCTCAGTCTCTATCTGAAATTAAATTTGATGTTTCTGATGTGTTTAAAGCTGTAAGTAGTTTAAAAAATAAAACTTCTTTAGGCACCGATCAAATTCCTATCAAACTTTTAAAGCTTAGTGCTGATGTAATTTCTCCTCAGTTATATCATATCTTCTCTCTTTCTCTTTCGACCGGTGTGTTTCCTCTTCCCGAGAAAGAAGCTATTATACGTGCCATACGTAAGAAAGAAAGCAAGTTACTCGTCAAAAACTATCGTCCTATTTCACTATTGTCTAATGTTAGTAAAGTGTTCGAGAAACTAATCTACAAGCATTTATACCCGTTTCTATGCACAAAAAACCTTTTTAACCCAACTCAGTTTGGATTTCGTCCCAGTACTTCAACCGCAGATGCGCTTCTTCTTCTCACTCAAAAGATTTACCAGCATCTAGAAAAAAGGTGCAAATTAATTGGCATATCATTTGATTTTGAAAAGGCGTTCGACACTGTACCACATCATAGTCTACTACAAAAACTGGCTAAAGCAGGAATAGGCGAAAATCTTTTGAAATGGTTCGCTTCTTATCTTTCAAATCGTACACAAAAGGTCTCTGTGGGCTCTGTTTTTTCTTCTTCTGTTCGAGTGTCGTCTGGAGTTCCTCAGGGCAGTATCCTTGGCCGGATTTTATTTCTCATATTTATAAATGATCTTGCACCATTTCTCAAATCTTCTCTTCTTTCTTGTCTTTTTGCTGATGATGTCTTCTGTGTTACAAACATTTTCGAGGCTCAAAAATGTATCAATGAGCTTGTTCTCTGGTGTGATATTAATGAGGTCAAATTAAACATAAACAAATGTCTCTGAATTTTATTTTCAAACTCTAGTAAAATGCTTCCTTCACTCACTCTTTCAATAAACAACGTTGATATAGAAAGAGTTTTGTCTCTTAAACTTCTTGGCATGATTATTTCATATAATTTAACGTGGAAGGCTCACATTGAATATGTGTCAATGAAATCTCGTCAAATGTTAGGCTCTATCTCAAGAGTCTTTCGTGACTCGCTCTCATTTCTTCATTGTCATCTGTATAAAACTTGTGTAAGAACCGCGCTTGAATACGCTTGTGTTATCTACGATTCCACTTTTACTTCTCATCTTGAAATTTTGGATAAAATTCAGCGTCTTGCTAGTAGGGTCATTTCACAAGATTTTAGTAGTTCTTCTTCTTCTCTACTCAAACAATTTAAAATTCAACCACTTTCAAACAGACGTCTATATTATCGCCTTCTCTATTTCTATAAAATTTTCTATCATAAAAGTCCTCTCTCCACTTTTGATCTAATTTCACAGTCAACAACGCGTCAAAGTTCTCGATTAGGCCATGATAGTCGCGTGTTTGTTCCTTGTTTAATGTCAAAATCTGCATCTAGCTCTTTTCTTCCGCGAACCTCAAAAGATTGGAATGGACTACCTTCTGTTTTAGCCTCTCAAACTTCTTTAGCCACATTCAAAAGTATGCTGCGAGGTTACTCAGGCTTTTAATAATGTTATTTTGTTTACTTATTTATATTTTTAAATTTTTAGTTTTAGGTTATCACAGGGTATCCACGGATGCCAGAAGATTTTGTTTCTTTTTTTTGTGATATCCTGCTCTTTTTAGTAAAAATAAATCTTATCTTATCTTATCTAAAAAAAGTTATAGCGATTCTGCTGAAGCTCACTGATTTTCCCTATATATTTACCCCTCCTTACCCTATATCGTATGTGTGATCTGTACGATATTAAAACGAAGGAAAAAAAGAATGAAAGAAATGTGAAACGTAAATGAATCACACTGTAACACTGTTGAAGTCGCCTAACTCTTTCCTGTATTCTGGTGTGATGAAGGAAGAAAGAGGAAGCTGACTCATTTTTTCTTTTGTGTACGACGCAAGTACATGATTCAGTGTGAAGGGCGCAAGGAACAGCATGGGAAATATTTGCACATGGGATTGTTGGCAAGTTCCAACTTTGACTTGCGCATATATGTTGGAATTCCACAGCGATACTGCAGTCAGTCATAGAATGAGTGAAAAACCAGTAGATGAAGGTGAGTCCACTTTTCAGCTGGAGCCAAAACGAAAGAAGCCAAAAATCGATGCAGATATAGTTCATGACAGAGAGAATGAAACACGCGTCAACCGCGAAAGTATTGCTCTTCTGTGGTACGACGTTGAAGTCGAAGAATTAGGCCCTTTTGCCGAGGATGTGAGAAGAACAAAAGCTATGCTACGCGAGCTCAATGATTTCGTTCGGCTGTTTTCCGACGAGACCCTTTGTGTCGAGTACATGGAGAAGTTCAAAAATGAAACAATAATACTGGTTATTTCTGGTAGCGGCGCTACGACATGGCTGCTCGATAAGGCACAGTCGCTTCGCCACGTCGACTCCGTTCTTATTTTCTGCATGGACGTTGACAAGTACAAAACGTTCCTTGAACCAGGAACACTGAAAAACGTGAAAATCACAGGCATTTTCTATGAACAAGAGAGCTTGAAACAAAGCATAGTGAAGACGGTGCGAGCTATCGAGAAACAAGCTGCCATTTTCGCAACCTATGATCCGAAGAAGCAAAAGTCCAATCGAAATGTGACTTTGGAGAGCGGTTCCTTCGTTTGGTTTCAGCTGATCAAAGAGCTCATGCAACGAATACACACCGATAATGAAAAGCATTCTTCTACCGACAAAGAAGAGATGTTAAGCCAGTGTCGTGCCTACTATCGAGATAATGGCAAAGAAATGAGAAACATCGACGAATTTGAGCGAACCTACAAGCCAGACGAAGCCATTTCCTGGTACACGCAAGACAGTTTTATCTACAAACTGATTAACAAAGCCTTGCGTACAGAAGATGTTGGAGCGCTGTACGTCTATCGCTATTTCATTGTGGATCTCTGTGCCTGTCTTACCAAAAATTTTGAACTACTCCGAAAGTGCCCTTCGACGCCAAGTCTGCTGAAGCTTTATCGTGGCATGATACAATCAAAAGCAGAAATTCAACGACTACTGGAAAGCATAGGTCAACTCATTTCAACGAATAGTTTCTTTTCCACAAGCCGCAATCGAATAGTGGCCGAAGCGTATGCGGGAGTAGGTAGTAAGAAAACAAATACCTCTGATGGTGATCTGGAATCTATTCTTTTTGAAATTAACGTTGACGTTCGAGCTGGGAACACTTCGTCTGGCCGATGTGTCGTTTTACAGTGCCTTCAAGGATGAAGAAGAAGTCTTGTTCGATTTTGCCACTGTGTTCGAAATCGACTCCATGACATTTGATTCTACTGCCTCGGTCTGGATATGCGTTTTGACAGCAACAGACAAAGGAAGCTCCATAGCCAAAGACTATATTCGATTGCAAATGGATGAAATGAATACGGGAGATGTCGTCATTCTACTCGGTACGTACCTTTTCGAGATGGGCGAATACAAAAAGTCAAAAGATTATTTCGAGAACTTGAAACAACGCAGAGGAAAGAATGATCCCAATGTTTCTCTTGGTCTCGGTCGGGCTCATTATGCTTTGGATGAGTACAAAGAAGCATTACAATACTTCGCCAGTGCCCGTGCGATCTATTTAGAAAAGGACCCGCCTGATTTATTTAATGCTGCCAAAGTAGCACTTTATGCAGGCAATGCCTTTCGATTTCGAAGTGAATACGATGAAGCACTTTCCAGTTATACAGAATCATTGAACTTCTATGAAACATTAGGAATAGCAGAGTCACTTTCTACCACGAGCGNTTATGCTTTGGATGAGTACAAAGAAGCATTACAATACTTCGCCAGTGCCCGTGCGATCTATTTAGAAAAGGACCCGCCTGATTTATTTAATGCTGCCAAAGTAGCACTTTATGCAGGCAATGCCTTTCGATTTCGAAGTGAATACGATGAAGCACTTTCCAGTTATACAGAATCATTGAACTTCTATGAAACATTAGGAATAGCAGAGTCACTTTCTACCACGAGCGTCCTATCCAGTCTCGGTTGGTTGTACTACTATACAGGGAAAGATGCATGTTCACTGAAACATTTTCAGCGTGCGCTCAGCACATTGAATCGATTTGTTCCTTTCGATCACCCTGACATCGCTACAGCACACATGAATGTCGCACAGGCACTTTATCTGTATGGTGACTACGATCAGGCAATGAGCCATATTGAGACATGTTTAGACATCAGTCGCCGAATTTTCCCCCTCAGGTCTATGCTTATAGGAGTTCCGTTTCTCAATAAGGGTAAGATTCTGTACAAGAAAAAAGAGTACGAGAAGGCTTTCTCTGCAAACATGGAAGCGCTGGAAATTATTGCACTCGCTCGTGACGAGAAGACTTCTATTGAATTCGCATTCGGCTGTAATAATATTGGCAAAATTTACTACCAACAAAAAGACTATGCAAAGGCGGACGACTACTATAACAAAGCTCTTTGCTGTCTAAAAACCATTCTGCCCAATGGCCATATTGATACGGCTTTCACAATGAGAAAAAAGAGCGAATTACATCTCGCTCTCGGCGAAGTGGGGAAGGCCACCGATTGCATCGAAGAAGCTCGTAAGTGATGCGCTTTAGCGAATCCACATATCCATTTCTTTTTTCCCGTTCTAGTTCTAATATTAAACCGCATGTTTCCTGATCAACGTCATCGAGACACAGCAAAAGCGATACATTTACTGGCTCGCATTCACGTGGCGCGTCAGGATGATCCGAAGGCTCTGACGTATTTTCGACAAGCCTTTGAGATATGGAACGTGACCTTGGTAGGGCGACATCCCGACTTAATGCTATGTCGAACGGACATCATTCGCTTGTACTGGCGTCAGATACGACGATCGCTCAGAAATTCGACATTTACTCCTAAACAGAGCTTCCAATGAACGAGACGTCCTTATTCTGTTTGTTTTAATCTCGTTTATTGATGTAAAAGTAGAAAAATCCAAAAGATACAAGCTACCAAAGCGGATCGAGGATTCATATACATGTGGTCACCATAAAAGAAAAAATAAACAAACCCTTAACTGTTATAGATTCGCTAACCCATACTAAATAGTACAAGAGGAAAAAATGAGAGAAGAAGCGAGAAAAAGAAGAGAAATATTATAAATAAATAAGTATACAAGTAAGCATGAAAGGTGAGTTGTGTTGTGTGTTGGACTGCAGATGTGTAGGTCGAGTGGATCAGACAGAAGTAGAGAATCTTCCTGTATCAGCAATATAGTTTACGACCAACTTGACAATAACTCCAACTGTTACTTTGTCAAACAGTACTCGTAATAGAAGTGATTCAAGATTCGGTTTAATATCTGGAATCCTGTTAGAGAACTGTGTCATTAGGTTTTCTCTTCCTTGTTGTAATTGGGACACTCAAAAAAGAAATGGTAAACAGTCTCTTTTATTAGACTATTACATTCACAAGATGGATCATGCACGAGACCTTTATCGAATAAGTCACTATTCAATTGAGAAAATCCGACTCTAAGGCGACAGTAGTGAATATCAATATCTCTTCGACTGATTAAAGGTAATTTTAAATTTGATTTTGGTGGTATCAACCGACTTTTATATTTATTTAAATTAAATGTCAGTTTTGTCTCAAGCGGAAGCTCATTGTACTCACTAGATGCTCGAAAGACTAACGAATCATAAACTATAACTACATATAATCGGCAACGTTGAACCGGAACAAGCTGTCTATCTCGACTTCGTAATGAGGATGTAGGCGGTGATGAAGGCAACAAGCTCTTTAGAACAGATGATGTTTTCCCAGTAATGATTTTCTGAAATGGAGTTAATCCATATCTTTTGAAAATCTCTCTTATTGACTCCCATCCTAAGTCTTTCAAGACCCTTTCAGCAGAACTAAACATCATTGCTCCAGAAACAGCGCGAGCTGCCTTGTAGTGAGCAGACTCTAAGCGATCCATATTCCTCACTATTGTATTACCGTAGATAACAGAACCATAGTTAAGCTGATTCAACCCGTAAGCCTTGTAGATTATATCTAGAGCTTGACGGGCTAGCACATGTGAAAAAAGTTTCAATAAGCCAGTCAGACGGTCGATTTTATGTAGGATATAATCTACATGCGCTGTCCAATCAAGATTATTCTTCAATACTAAGCCAAGATGTTTATGTTTAGTAACGTAGGGTATGGGAGTGTTACTGATGCTGATAACAGGCATTGTAGCAGTCTGAAGTCCTTTATGACTAGAGAAAAGCATAGCTATACATTTATCTATATTCAAATGAAGCTTCCAAGTTTCTGACCAATTATAGATGATGACTACGTCCTTATTTATTTGATCCATGGCCTTGGATAAGTCATTCCTTTTTGTAATGCAATACAGAGATACATCATCGGCAAAGAGTTTCATTGTGGGGTTGATGTTATCAGCGATATCATCAATAAATATTAAAAACAACAATGGCCCCCAGGACCGAGCCCTGAGGACGGTTTTGCCTTATAAAACGCAAAAGGAAAATAACAGACACTGATGATCGAATGTATGGGCTATCCTGCTGAAAGTAAAAACACTATACAATTCCACTGGATGACGATCGCTCAAAAAAAGGAAGCAAAATACATTACTGTGGAGCAAAGCGAGTAAAAGAATGCGCCGGTAACCATTTGAGGTAACTTTTTCTCGTTTAAATAGAAACTTCGGTAAATAAAACTAAACTTAAATAGAAACTTCATGGATAATCCTGCATAGCACACAGACACAAAGAAAGAGTTTCAGTCGTTTTTGAAAATGATATTTATACTGGATGATCTTATTTTAGACACTTATTTCAAACTTTGTCGATGGCTTGATCATTTCTCTTCAAAATTATTTTTTTTAGATACTTCCATAAATTAACTATGACTTATTTTTAAAATTTGTTATTATTGTAATCAGTTCTAATTACAGTGTAAGTACATCAGTGTCAATTCATTCTAAAACAACACGGCAGCTGAAAGGTCTCCTAGAAAATTCAGACTGCTAAATCAGAGACGGTATGAACGACATTTGACAAACGAGCAGAAGATTGATTAATAAAAAAAGTAAAATTCCATGTGACATATGAGCCAAAGAACTCTTTATCAAAACTTGAGCATGCTCTGACATGCAACTTCTGCTGCTCACCATATTAGGAACTATTATAAGGTGCAGCTAATTCAAAACTGCAGTAAAAATATTTTCTGACTTTATTATACATATTTTGATCCGTCGCATCGAGCTGATCTCAGATATCACCTTCGCAGCTTTCGAAAGTTCTTTCTTCATGGAGAAAAATGCGAAAAACCGTGAAGACCTAAAAAGCCTCAAAAACCGACGTCCATCGTAAAAGTAAGTTTTTTAAAGTTGTATTGCAAGCTAGAAAATTCTAACTATATTTTTCTGAATCGGCGTCAAAAACTGATTTAGAAAAAGGCTGTATAGGTCATCCCAGAGGTAAACACTCGTCCGACATAGACGTCCAAACCGCAAGTCTCAAAACCGAATTCGCGAAACTACGTGTCAGGAAATGTTCCTGGGCATGCCCTAACATGATTCCAATAGAAAAATCTCGAAAATATTGGAGGACAGGCACTACCCTTATTTCCGCCCTCCTCCTCTGCTCATTTCCGACCATTTTCAAAAAGTCAACACTTTTTCACACGAAAATAACTTCTAAACATATAACAATCAGCTTGTACAAGATAGCTCGATGAACTTTATCCAACCACACTCAAAAAACGAAAAATAATTTTGAGAAAGTTGTGAATTTCGTCTACCCTACATGTTGGTCCGTTAGCATCAGGATCTTACAGTCAAGGGCCAGTGGATCGAAGATGAACGTTACTTGTGGAAATGCAACACTTATAATATTTAAAATAATACAATTTTTGGAAGAACATCGTACATCTTTAAATAGTGAAAAATTACATTATTATATTGATGAATGTATAAAGAAACCTCAATGCTTATTTGAATTACAGAGTCAACAAGAAGATGTTGATCATTTTTGTCAATTAGAAAAACAGTTACTTTAACCTTGACATATAGTGTGTATTCTAAATTAAAAATAAAACAACTTTTTTCTTTACGCATTTGCCAGTCATTTTTGCTGAATTAAATAAAACAAAAATTGAAGTTTAGAATTGATGAATAGAAGAAAACTTCAGGTAACAATCTATGAAATAGAAAATGTGTTTTATTCTTATTCAGCATGAAACAAATGCAAGGTTCAGCTAATTCAAAGTTTAAGCAGTATTGTTTTTCTCGATATTTATGCATATTCGGATAGGGCTGAAGGAGCGCATATCACATTTTTACCCTTCAAAAACCATTTCTTCATGGAGGAAAGCGCAAAATACCGGGAAAGCCTAAAGAATCCGTTCATTTTCAGAAAAATGACTATGGTTTTTTCCCGTTACATTTTGAGGCCTGCAACATTTTTTTCGTATTCACCATGTCAAACCCTCTGTGAAAATGTACTTCTAAAGTTCTTCACATGCCACGTAGCCGGTGGGAAAAATCCGTTTCCAAGAGAGCTCCAAAACGTAGTAATCTACTACCTAGTTGCGCTAGCGCTAAATCTACTAGGCAAATCTAAGGCACCTCAAGTTACAGCTTCACACTGGAGCGTTGCTTGGTTATTCCGACGATGCAAAATCTACTTTTAACTACTAATATAAAAGTAAAATGGAATAAAAAAACGAAAATCTATCTGACTGAAGAGTAACTAGTAGCAAAAAACAAGGTAAAATAACTTTTCATCGTCAATCTTTGTATTTGTAATTTTTCTGTGCGATTTTATTTCAATACAACCACTTTTCAGCATTTTTTAAGGACAATCAATGCGGAGCCTAAATTTGTCATATGAGCATCACAATATAGAAAATACTTGAAAGATGGTGCGTGCTTGCCCGTTTTTTCGCTAAGAAACGATCAAATGAATACGCAAAATTGCTTTAAAGCATTTAAAACGGTGAAAGGCCAAACAAAAAAAGTCGTTTTGTATGTAGTAGGCTGCTCTTGCTTTATCACATTAATAGCGACGCCATCTCTAATTATTTTAAGATTATTCTATTACCCATCGCCAGGGACACCAAAGTTTTGTGATGACCTGCTTTTAGTATGGCGAACCTGATTTTTATACGTTTGAGCCATAATTTCGCCCTTCTCAAGAGGTCAATCTGCCCATATGTAAAACGATTATGACAGAGTTCTGGCCAAAATAAATGAAGGTGCGAGAAATCCGCAAAAAGTGCAAGTTTGATGCAGCTTTCCGGAGGTCATCATATTCCATCCAAAAATTGTCGTTAACGTCTCATTTTGAAGACGGTTAAATTCGCTACAAACTGGCTTTAATCTTAAAAGTTTCTTCTGAAATTTGAAAGTCCATAGCTTTTCAGGAAGACCGGAATCTGTCGAGACCCATATTCCCGGAACAACAAATAATAGATTGGAATTTTGGCTGATTCACATGTTTTCGTATGCGTAGAATCCAAGAAAGTTCAATAATAAAGTTTAAAACTCAAAAAAATTGAAATATAAGCTAAATTGGAGAAAAAATTGGTCCTGATCTCCTGTACAAAATTATTTCTTATCAGTTTTCGTCACCAGTTCAAGGAAGATCATTCATTTTGTTTCTCAAATGCTCTCTACAGTTTCAAGGACTTTGACCAAAGCCCATAAGTAGAAAGATAGAGAATTTTCCACGCTTCAAAACGCGCTATTGACAAGCTTCTCAAACTTATGTACACGTAGAACAATTGTCAAAATACTAGACAGATGTCATGATTTTTACTCACCCTAACACTTTAAAGGAATACTTCTTTGATGTTTCTCCTCAGACCCGGAATGTTTTATACATAGAAAGATAAAGAATTCTTCAGGCTCCAAAATGAACTATAAATAAGTCTTTCAAAAATATGCTCAAATGGGTCAATAGTCAAAATACTTGGCAGGTATAATAATTTTCACCTATCTTAGTGCTTTAGAAGAATATTTCTTGAATTCATCTACTCAGATCCAGAATGTTTTCTATATCGAAAGATAGAGCTAGGCTTCAAATGAACTACAATATTTTGTTTTAAAACTTTGCCCTCATAGATTTATTGGCTAAATACTGGATAGATATCTCGATTTTTACCCATAGTGATATATAAAAATAATCACAGCTTCTTTCACAAGTAGAAATTATGAATAGTTTGTATTTAGGAAAATACAGAATTGAAGAGGCTACAAAATAAGCTATAGTACATTGTTTCGAACCTTAATTAGTTTAACAGACTTAGTTTTTACAGATGATGTAAATTTTGCAAGAAAAGCATGGGTTGAAGGTTTTCTGTGTGATAATTGTGATCATGCATTGATTAAGTTTTTTATTAATTGTAATATAAAACGTTCCAATTCTTTTTCCAGAAAAATATATAATTACCAGAACGCTGACTGAGACTTTTTTCGTTTCACTCTAAATACTTTACTATCAGAATCTAAAAATACTTTTAATTCAAATGTTTCGTTAGACGATCAAATAAGTGCAATAAATAACCTAATACTTGTGGGAGCAGATAGAACAGTACTAAATAAAACGATAACAATAAGAAATAGAGATCAGCCCTTCTTCTCTGACAGATTAAGAAAATTGTTACGTAAGAAGAACCGGACGTATCGAAAATACAACAAAAACGATTTTTCTTATGATATGTATTTATCAGCAGCAGAAGAGTTTCAGCTCTCTGCAAAAAAGGCAAAAGAAGAATATTTAGAGAAAATAAACAAAACAAAAGCGAATAAAAAAGGTTGGTGGCAAACGTTGAATTTTTCGTTAGGTAGAAAAAAGCGTTCTGTTATTTCAAAGATAATCTAGGTAGATTAATAGAAGAGGATTGTGATAAGGCTGAATTATTCAACGAACATTTTGCATCTATCAATCACATATCTTCCACTGACGATGCTAACCCAACTCCATCAATCACTATATCGTCAAATGTCCCTCAGCTATCCGATTTAAAAGTTACACTAAATGCAGTGGAAAAAATATTGTTAAAAACAGATATAAACAAAGCTTGCTCCTCTGGTGTAACATCACGTCTAGTGAGGGAATCTGCACGTATAATATCACCTTATATTATGAAGATAGTACAACAATCAATTGATACCGGTATTTTTCCAAGTATTTTTAAAACAGGATATGTGAATGCGTTATTTAAAGATGGTGAATTAACTTCTCCTTCGAATTATCGTCCTATTACTCTACTTCCAGCGTTAAGTAAAGTTTTTGAACGAATCATGCATTTCCATTTATACAGTCATTTGAAGAAAAATAATCTTTTGTCACCTTTACAATCCGGTTTTATTCGTCATGATTCTACAGTCAATCAGTTAGTTGATCTAGTTCAATCAATTCATCTAGAGACTGAACAATCAAAGATAACAAGAGCTG